GAGAGAGAGAGAGAGAGAGAGAGAGAGGGCGAGAAAGAGAGACACGGATTCCTCTGGCCCAAGACAAGTGTCTTAAACCTGCGCTAACTTTAGGTCCCCCCTCTGGCAGAATGGCACCTTTCATCCCTCAGGACAGGTTCTGCCCTCTCATCTCCATCCTGTCAGTCCCTGGTTAATTTAATTCAGGAAAAGCTAACAGTGGGTACACGAATTCCTGTTTCATCCCCATCAGACGCCTCTTGGCCCTTCCCACGTTACCAGACAGATGCGGCATTTGGCTGGCACGGCCTCTTTGCTCTCGGCTTTCTCAGGAGAGGCTGTAAGCTGACAAATCGGCCGGGCACTCACTTTGCCAGTTTGGCTCTGCTAGTTTATTGCTCTTCAATTAGGATGGTGCAACCGGTCATTTAGAGCAAAGAGAAGGGGGCTCTTTTATAGCTGTTAAAAATATGGCACATGTTTCAAGTCTCTTACTCTTTCCTTTTGTGTTAAGCCTCTTGAAAACTTTGCGATGAACTATTTTGCCTTGCTGCCCACTCAGGAAATGGATCTGAAAAGGCGACTTGGCTCCTTCGTAAAGACCTGGATGCAGATCCGCTCCCCGCCCCCCGAATCCATCACCATCCATCGTCACCCCGCTAATTCTTGGCTTAGCGTTCATCTAAAGAACAATTTTGGTTTTAAAGCAGCTTTACAGAAAAATATGCTTTAGCCTGTTTTCCTTTTCAGAAAGCAACCCTCTCAACATAACGATTCATTTCCCCTTCTTCCTTTGTTTCCTCTCTTTCTGGGTCCGCGTGTGGAATGAGGCTGGGCCTGATTTGGGAGGTCTGGGTTCTAGATGGAACTCCATTTTTAAATAGCTGTGGGACGCTGGCTGAGCCGTTCTCTCTCAGAGCCTCAGTTTCCTTATGTGTAAAATGAGCTGAACTTTCAGTTCCCTTTCTGCTGTTACGGCCATTTAATCATCCTTAAGATACCTTGCACACTTCTCTATGTGTGGGATGAGGCTTACTTACTGCAGTGGGAATTTACAGCAAGGAAAAGGAGCAGCCTCTGGGTTTTGCTTACACGAAACATCATTTACTCAGAATTAGGCTCATTATCTTAATGGTTCCAACAACTCAAGAGTGCTTAAAAGGGTGGCTGGCTCTCAAGAAATCTTTGAGAGTTTCATTGAGCTTATTATATTCCAAAAAATGAAAGAGGGGTGGTAGGCCGGAAATGCTATCTTAAGGTGTCAGAGTGGACAGGATCTGATATATTTGTTAAATTCTCCATATCATTTATTTATTTTTTCACATTCAATATTATTTTATATTAATTTCAGGTGTACCTTATAGTGGTTAGACATTTATATAATTTAAGAAGTGATCATCCTGACTAGTCTAGTACCCACCTGTCACTATACATAGTTATTATCATATTACTGACTATATTCCCTGTGCTTTATTTTACATCCTCATGACTATTATGTAACTACCAATTTGTAGTTCTTAACTCCTTCATGTTTTTCACCCTGACCCCCAACTCCTCTCCCATCCATCATCCTGCTAAATCTAGTACCCATCTGACACCATTCATAGTTATTACGTTACTGACTCTATTCCTTATGCTATACCATACATCCTCATAACTACTTTATAATAACCAATTTGTACTTCCTAAGAAAGGGGTCTGATTTTTAAGCTCCATTCGAGCAGGGACTTGTTGTTGTTGTTCTCTGCTATATTCCCAGCACCTAGGATGGTACTTGGTACATAACAGGCACTTGATACATATGTGTTAATATAATGAATTCATTTCATCAAAATAAATAAATTCACTCTTTCAGCAAATATTTTCTATTTCTTGATTTCATGGAATGTTGATATTACTAAATTCAATGGGAACAAGTTTGTTGGGGCTAAAATAGGAGGTGGTTAGGTGTGTGGGCTTAGGGGATCACGAAGGCTACCTCTGAGGCTAGCTCTGCCTTCACCGGGCATGTGATGTGAGGCAGGTTGGCTAGTATATCTGACTCTCATTTTCCTCACTTGTCAGCTGAGAACAGGGTTTGGGTCTACTCTCAGAGGGCTGCTGAGAGGGTCTGAAGAGAAGAAGTAGCTAGAAAGCACCGGGGCGCCTGGCACAGGGCAAGTGCTCAATAAAGCTTACCTGGGAGTGAATGCGCAGGCTTCTTGATGCTCCTGAAGCCAGTTTACGTTCTTAAAAGGCCAAGGATGTCTTTCAGTTTATAGCTAATGTTAGTTATAGGTTGCTTCTGAAACTATATTGTTTCTAGGAAGCTGGGAGTCCTTACTAATCTCTCTGCTTTATGCTTCTGCTCTGCCCCAGCTAATAACCAACTCCTATGCCCCGTCTTTGAGTGTTTGCTATGTTACATTCCAATTTCTGTGTGGTCAGAACACACACATACTAATCGAACCCCTTGGTAAATAGTATGTTCCTCGAGGGCAAGTTTCTGACCCATCACTTCCCTCACCAGCTCTCAGAGGAGCCAGGTCCTTAGAAGGTGTTTATTAAGGGACTTGCTCTGACACCTCCACCCCAGAAAACTTCCCACTGACTTTATTAAGGAGTCACACACATGGGGATTCAGATGGCATCTTGCAAATCCAAAAGTGGGAACATGTGCTCATAGAGGAAAAAAATCTTATAGAAGGAAACAGAATTCTAGGTGCAGGTGTCTTTGGATACCATTCAGAATGTCTGCCTGTGTCTCCATACATGTCTAGGACCATATGCATTACATATGTTGTCTATTTTAAAATAAAACACTGCAGTGGTCCAGCTGTTCCAAATTCTGTTTCAAAGAACTTGTGGGTGCTTCCCAAGCAACACCATATAGTCATTCTTGCACTGTCCCAGTCTGTTCTTCTACAGTGCTGAACATTTAAAAATAAATGCTCCTTGCAACTCCACTTCCCCCCCCACAAACAATTGGAAGGGGCTGATTAAAGAAAAGGAAAACTCCAGTGTTGACATTAGCAAAGGGAAAATAGCCCAGAGCCAAAGTAGGAGAAAGTGAATTCTTAAATCCGGGACACCTTGGGATCACTTCCTTTGCCAATGTTTGGCATGTGTCAAGAGAATGAAAATGAATTTTAACATTAGGGTGGGCGAAACAGAATTAGGAGGGTGAAGTGGCTGCTTACAACTCCAATGATGTGTGGATTATCTCTTGCTTTGGGAGATGCTTATCAATGCTCATTATTATTATTATTATTATTATTATTATTATTATTATTTTAAATTTTAGAAATCAAGGATTGACTACTGCATTTTAAGACATGACTTCAACCTTTACCCTTTACCTTTTTCAGACCTGGCTGAACAGTTCCTAAGACCTGCGTGGTCTGGAAGGGCTTCAAATGTACTGAAATGGGCTGTGTAACCATATAGGCGCTGCAGTTAGGGTATAATTCAACACATCTTCCAAACAGTGCTACTTGTTTCACTTCTGGGGTTTAATTTCATACAGATTTTGAAGTCTTTTGTAGTGTGGGCATAGGAAACTGACTTCAGACTCAACTTGCATGGATAAAGCTAATACTGGTACCGAACTACATTAAGAAACTTAAAGTACTATCAATGGTATTCATGACACAGAAGCAAGCTGATGGACACACAGACATTTGGACGGTAAATACACTTTTGAGTGGAAACTAACCAAAACCTTTACCCCAGGTTTACTCAGAAACAATTTTGGTTGGGCATTTAAGAAATGTTGGGGAAAAAAAAAAGAAAAAAGAAATATTGGGAAAATATCAGTTCCTAAAGTGATATTGATTATGTAGGTTTTATACTCTCATTTAATCTACTTCATTAAAATTCAAGTGATGTCTCTAATTGGCCACTCTACCATCTATGTTGTTCTTTAATTGATCATGATGTTTGATATTCTTAGTCATGACATGTTTGATATTGTTTTCCTTCTCCCCTCACAATGCAAAATAATATATAATATTTCATAATTTATTATCTTAATAGCAAGCATCTTTATGTAACTTCATTTCAGATCTAAATTTTTTTTTAGATCAGCTTGCAATAAGGTCTACCCAATAAATGTAATTTTCTTGGGGGGACTAATATAGCTTTCAATTTCATTTTATTGAGATTTTCCTGTTATTCTCACCGCTAAGGGAATGAAGACAAAAGGCTAAATCTGTCTTTGTTTTGTAATATTACATTTTGGAACTTTACATAGGCCATAGAAAAAGAAATGTTGCTGTTAAAAATAATTATGATTGTACTGTTAATGCATTGTCTGAAAGAGGTTCCTTTCTTTAAGGAATCCCTTTTACAATAAGCTAGAGGTAGCTGTTTTATTACTGAAATTTAGAGCACAGTTAGGGCTGTTGTGACTCCTGATGGATGCTAGAGGCAAGAGAATAGCTAATGTGACTTTAAAGTCATTGTGAACCCAAACTGCAAATTAAAAGGTGACTTTGTATCTTTCTTATATGGAAAATGTGTGCTTGTCATATCTGCTTGACAGTACAAGAGTGAATGCATGCTTTGGACAATAACGAACAATGACAGTAGTCAACCTCATCAGGAGACATGAAATAAAGAAATGACAATGATTGATGGCAGCTGGCTGTTCACAGATTTTTCTAGAAGAGTTTTTCTTGGCATGGTCAAGTACCAGGGGAAGATGTGCCCTTCCTGAGCTCTATGCAGCAAGCAAAAAATACGGGTCCTCCCATGCCTGCTGCCCTTGAGAAATAACTTAATTCCTTCATGGTCCCTTTGACGAAATCAGGCTAACTTGCATTGGATGGCCAAGAGGATGGCTTCTTCAGAATCTATGAAGGGCCACAGGAATTTTGCAGAAATCTTGAATTTAAAATTATTATGGCAATACATCCAAGGGGATAAACATGTGATGTGTATTTCAATGTTAATTTTTATAATTCTTTATAAGACAGCTGCTTTGAGTAAAAATCATCACAGATTTTGTTAATGATCTCAAAATAAATAAATGAATGATTTGCAATTTTCCCTGCTGTAGTTATTACATTTTCAATTAATTTACAGAGTACTTGATGATGTTTTTACATTCCCTGCAACATGAGCGTAAATAAATTTTGTATAGTTGAGTAATTAATAATGTATTTTACTGTAAATCACTACATGCCATGAAAATACTCAGCTGATTAGTGAATAATATATTCAATGTGTATGAAGTAGTTAACAAAGAAATGAACCTTCATGCAATATGTCTATATATTTAGAACATACCATGGTGTTTAGAAAATTTAGGGCCTGATTGTGGAGTCTATTCTTTTAGAAGACCACTGATTTTTACAATGAGAAGAAAAGTGATTTACAGTGTGGTTTTGGGTCATGCAAATTAAGTTAATATCGAATTAATTCTTTGATGTTGCATTCCTGCAATGTAGCAACTGCAAGTTGACAATCAAGAAGCTATAGCAAAAATTTCGAGAGATAACACTATAGAAAGGAGTTAAGGCAAATGACTATTTTGGAATCTACTAGGATAGCAATGCATTGTTGTGCAAATACACGTGAATTTACGCAGAACACAATTCATTCAGTCATCTAGTCATCCATCCTTTCTTTCATTCTTTAAAAAACGTAGAGCAAAATCCTAAATTCCCACTAAGTTCACATATTATGGTAAGCTTTTAAAAATGCCTCATCAGACATTCAAAGGAAAGTAAAGATAAATTAAGTATCTGCTTGGAGTGTTAAAAAAAAATCTGTCTGCTAGCCAGGGGTACATTTATGCAAAATAAAAGAAAAAAGAAAGGGGAAAAGAAAGCAAATTAAAGAAAGAAACAAAAAGAATTAGAAGAAAGAAACAAAAAGAATTAGAAGAAGGACTATTATTAAATGATCAGGAGAAATGATATGACCTGCGACTTCTAAATTAGCATTCAGAATACTCAAGTACATATTTGCCTGCTCTCTTGACCAATTTTTCTAGCTCCCTCTAATGTCAAGTCTGTCCTCAACACGTTTTTTTGGTGGTCAGTTTTCCTATATGAATAAAGAAATTATATACTCTCTTTTATTAACAATTCAAATAGTGAAGGAAGAGATTTTCTGAAGTTTTAGTTTCTTTTTTCTCTTTCAGGAGTATTTTTAGAAAAATTAATACCAATATTAAAATGTTGAAGCTATTGTCATTGTCTTTGGGAAGGTAGCAGAGACAGTCCAGACCAGAGGTCAAAGCGCTCCACGGCATCGTGTGATTGTGAATCCGAAGCTTTTATGAATAAGCTACATTAAGGACTTCTTTGTGCCCTTAATTCCCTGTTTTTGTTTGTGGTAGGTAGTCCCCAGTAGTACTGCTCTCCTTTCAAAATTAATCCTCCATTGGGTCTTCCTTAGAACATACCCTCAAGCCAGGTAGAATTGATTATTTAGTGTTCCAATAATGCATTTACTTTATTAATTGTATTTTATAATTTCTTGAAGTCTTACTCAGTTAACACATTTGGGTTTCCTACCCCCCTATCTATCTGCCAAGATTATTGATGGTTACCACATCATTGGTACACTGATCATTCTAATCTTTGGAATGGAAAAGGAAAAACAAGCACAATACATTATCAGAGTGCAAAATGATCTGTTTTCAGGCATTAAGCAGTCAGGTAGCTGTCAATTCCATTAGTTGCCATTTGGTTGTGATGTTAATTAATGTTCTTGGAATGAAAAAAATTAGGAGATGTTACTAGTTGGCTTTATTCAGAGGATCATTTGATGCCAATATGAAAGCCAAGGAGAGGAGGCAATTATGCACACATCACATGCATCCTAGTTTCAGTATGGAAGCTGACATTTCAAACCTAAGGTCAGGAAAATAACATGAAAAGTCTTACTACAAAGTCTAGACATGAGGAAGATTTAAGAGGAGAGGGAGGAAGCACATTGCAGGTGTCAGATAATCGAGTCTGATTATCTGAGCTGTGCTAGCTATAGGGGAACACTTACCCTTCAGTCCAGCTAGAAGTTAGCAGGGTAAGAAGGAACAAACCAGAATAACATAAAGACTAGCAACAAGGCTCAGGAAAGCAGACAGGAGTTCTAACCTAGCAGCTAAAGTTCTTGGGTTCGAGCAAAGATTGAACAAGAAAACTTAAATGAAACAAAACAAAATGAAAACCAAAATCAACCCCCACCCCAAACCAACAGTAACCAAGAACTCCCCTAACTGTTGAAGACTGTTCAGGTGGTAGCAAAAACAGAACAATACTCGAAAACACCCAACTTTGGGGATCAATGATGTGATTAACAGTTATTAGTTGAGAAACAGACATTAAAATGAGACTCATTGCAAGTGATATATCAAATAATCATTGACAAAATAGCAAACTTTAAAATACCACTCCCCCTCCCTCTCTGAGGTACTGATTTTTAATGTTCCTCTAACACGGATTGGGCAGGGGATCAGGTGTCTCAATGAGAGGCCACTTGGCATAATAAATTGTGGCAACACTCAACTACATATTTGGACATCGTTTCCAAGGTAAGTAACATTGGCATGAAAAATTGGAAAATTGCAAGTAGTTGTTTTAAAAAGTTGTATAGCTAGGCACCGACTTAATTTTTCTCAAGTTTTAACCAAAAAAAGGGAAAAATTAAATCAACAACACACACCAACAAAACCACAAAAGAACAAAAAAGTTATAAGGTTTGGTGGAACCCGCCCCAAATCATTGTAGAGTCTTATACAAACTAATGAATAGCAGGATCTATTTTTTTTTCAGTATTTACAGTTCCATAGAAATACTCTACTCCACTCTTTCTTAGATGTGTCTTTTTCATTTTGAAATTAAGCTTTTGAAAATTGCAAAAAATAAAAATTGCACCTAAAGCGGTTAAACTGAATTTAGAAAGACCCAAACAAACTCACAATTTCCCCCAAGTTTCCCAAACTGTAAAATGTTCCATTTTCAAGTCTCCCTTGAACAGACAGCAACATGACAAGACTGGAGTGTTTATTTTTCTCTACCCAAAAGTCCTTTCCCATTTTCTGCAGCTTCCCTTTGCCATGTAAATACTAATAAAGTGATTACAAAGTTAACTCACTGAAAGTTGTTCTTCAGATTATTCACTTGCAAGAATGGCAAATAACTTTGAACACATATTCAAAAACAGGATTTGATGACATATGTACAGAAAGAAGTATTTAACAATGACCCTTACCTTTTGGAAGTCAAGGAAACCTTTTTAAAATGCAATACTTGATTGTTTTTACTCTTTTTGTGAAAGGATCTATGATCGACTTAGAGTTTGTGATGTGACTCTCAAAACAAACCAATGTATTGGCTGAGAACCAAAGGTAAGTGAAGGATCAAATTTTTCTATTTATTACTATGTTGTGATTGTTTTCCACTTTTTTTTATAACCTTGCTTTGTAGTACCAGGTAAGCCATCTGTCCCAGCTTGCCCAAGACTGAAGGGTTTCTGGGGTCACAGGACTTTAGTGCTAAAACCTGGGAAGTTGTGGGCAAATCTGGATGAGCTCGTCATCCTAGGTGTGAATGAATACTGTGAGTTTTGACTGATCTGTTTCATAGTTTTGGTTTGAATTTAATAAATTAAATGCAGCTGTGATGTAAGTGTGACATGACCACCATTCTGTGGCAGACTCCTCTAAATATTATTACATACCCTCCCACCTCGAGCCATTGTTTTGGTTGTTACGTGTATAACTGTTCATTAACACCACAGAATGTAAAATTCCTGGGTCCTTTTTTGACATTTCTCCTGGGTTTTATATACCCGTAACCGCAAAGGGTTAGGTGCAGAAGGTTAGGTTGGTTAAGTCCTGACTGGTTTCCTCTGCCTGCTTCTAAATTACGGGAACAGATGCCTTACTTGCTGTTATCCTGGCGGCAGTTTTTATTAAGTGCCTAACCTAGCAATAGATAGGATCTGGAGTAGTGTTGAGGCTGTGTTTCGGGATAATAAAGTAACTATGAGATTATTGGGTTGAACATTATTAGATTGAAGCTCTGAGTAAGGATTGTCATTTATTACAGGGTCACAGTGTACGGCTGTGCAGATTGGGCACTGGACAACTCAATAGGTACTGTTCACATTTTTGTCTACGTGAAAAATGCCTCCTGCAGTGCACAATCTGCATGGCTGAAAGTGGTGGCCTTGTTCTTATAGAACCTGGTAGGTGTGGTAGGACCTCACTCTCTGGAGAACCCCCATTCTTGGGTAGTGATTAAGGAGACAATAGAGAAGAAGGTGGCTCCACCAACCAGGTACTGATAAATCCCAGAGGCATGAATTAGTTGACCTCATTCAAAAAGAGTTTCTCCCCATCAGCAAAGGTGGTACAAGGCTTAAGAACATGGTCTTGTTAGACAGAAAAAGACATGGCAGTGGAATTCATCAGAAAGAGGATTTACCGCCATTTAGTTGCTGTAGCTGCAAAATTATTCCACCCATATGCACATTTTGTTTAAGAGCAACAGAGGAAAGGCTATGTCCAAGCCCTGTACCAGAGGGGCAGGTTTCTGCTGTGGGCCTCCACGCTCCATTCTCTTCTGCTGCAGCTCTCATTCTGCAGATATACTTGTGGGACTGACTCCCAAGCATTCGGACTCAAGCTCAGATCATCTGTCTAGTATCCCCTCCCCTCACTCAGTCACCAAGGTGTGACACTCTTCATGGTGTGTCTCAATGTCTGAAACTATCTTTTTACTTGTTGACTTGTTTGCTATCTAGACTTCCCCACTAGGATGCAGGTATCCTGAGAGCAGGGACCTGGTCTGTCTTCCTCATTCATGTGTCTCATCACCTAACCAGCTGCTCAATGAGCTAAACCAAATGAGTGGGTTCCACGCTAAAGGAAGGAATCACAATGATTATTGCTGAAAACGACTTGTCCCTGAGTTAGCCCTAATGACTTGACAATCAGGGTTAGGCAAAAATCTCTATTTAGGGTTAACGTTTGGAACTAAAATGAATGACTTTTTGGTGTTTTGTGTTTCTGATGCTGCCATCTTCTGTTTTAATAAACGTCTCCAGGTGCATGCTGGATTTCACCTTACCCTGTGTATCAGAAGGGCTGGGAGATAAAACCCATCCGAGGTAGCAAGAAGACATGGCAAAGAGGCAAGAAATTAAAATGGATGCAGAGGTAAGAGGAGAAGAAACTGGAATGTGAACTGGGGCTGCTTAAGGAGATGGTTTCTTTTTTGGGTCCTGGTATTTTAGCTCAGAATGGGATTTTAGGTACCATGGGCTTTTCGGTTTGTTTTGTTTTTCCACTGCATGTGATAATGTCATCATTTATTTTTAAATGGTTCGAAGTTGCAGGTTTAAATTTATTTCAAATCCAGCTCTATTTAAAAATTACTTTTAATGGGAAGAAAATGAAGCAAAGACATATATCATCTACTGTTTTTGAAGAACTCAAACAAATACATGTTTGGCTGTGAATTCCGAACCGTCACTAAAACAAAGAGATAAAAACCAACCTACAATATACTTCCCTTTGTTCAGTCCTTGGGGGAAAATGTCAAGTATTGCACTTTAAAATTACTTTCATCTAACATTTTTGTCCCGACTTTTCCCTCCTGAATTCACTATTCCTTTTCAGCAAACATGATTTTACGAATCTTTAATATTAAAGTAACTAGGTTTTCTAATTCAATTTTGGAAGATTACTCTACAGAGCTATTTTGAACAAATGGCATATTTACTTACAAAACTGGGAGATGGGGGCGTCCAGCTGAGGCACATTCCCTCCCTTGGCGTTGAGTTTCTGGACTTGGGTCGGGGGCACAGGCTTGTGGGACTGCCCGGTGGCCCGATACATGGCCTGGACCCACAGGATGCGGTCTTGCTCATCGTCACTGGCAAATATCACGGTGTCTCCTTCTTTGACTGCATTGAAGAAGGCGCGGCCACCCTCCAATCCTTGAATAAAAAGGAATAAAAACTACTAAGCTGAGCTGCAATGTTCTTGGCAGGACTGAGGCTTGAGAAAGGCGGCTTCTGCTGCTTTTCCTTGGGCCGGTGAGAGGAGGAGCAATTTATCTGACTTTTGGACAGGAAGTCTGATATCCACTTGGCCACAGCGCGGGGCCATGATGTTAAAGAGGCGTTATGAGCAAGGTGCTTGTCTCCGTGTTTGCCTTGCTGGGACAGAATTGTCATGCAGGCTGCCTGCTGGCTGGGTAAACATCTGCCTACAAATATACTATTATTTTTCTCATCTTTCAAACAAACAAACAAACAAACAAACAAACAAACAAACAAACAACAAAAACATCTCTTTATCCCCACTTTTCCCTTCAGGTACTGTCCTATTATTCTTCTTTTTACAGTATAAGAGGAATCTCTACTAGTGCTTCTCAAATTTAAGTCCACTCAAGTGTGAATCTCCTGGGCATCTTGTTAAAATGCAGCTTCTGACTCAGTATGTGCAGGGGAGAGCATGAGGCTGCATTTGTGACAAGCTCCTGGACGATGTAGATGGTGCTGGTCCTAGGACCACACTTAGAGTACCAAGAGTCTGTCTGTCTGTCTGTCTGTCTCTCTCTCTCTCTCTCTCTCCTATTCTGCCTTAAAAGCCCTCTAATCAGGCTACTGCCCCACTTGTCAAGGTCACCAATAACTTCCACATTGCTGAATCCAATGATCAATTCAAAGTCCTCATTTTATTAGATCCATCTACCTATCAGCAGCATTCAACACTCACTGTTTCCTTTGAAATGCCTTCTTCACTTGGCTCCAGGTCACCTGATTTCCTCCTCGCTCCTCGGCTGCTAACTGTCAGCCTTGTTTCCTGGTTCCTCCTGCTCTTCCTGCCCTTTAAATCCTGGAGCATCCTGGCGTTCTGTCCTTGAATCTCTTTTTTTCTTTATCTACGTTCTCTCCCCAGTGGTGGCATCCACTCTCAAATACCACGAATACGCTCATAGCCCTAAATTTCTCTCTCCATCCTGGACCTTTCCCTTTGAAATGCAGACCTGAATATCTAACGGGTTTCTTGCCTTCTCCACATGGGTATTTAATAAACACCCCAAGCTTATCATATACAACACCGAATTCCTGGTCTTTCTCCCAAAGTCCCCTGTGAAGCTAAGCTCATCCTTCTGGTTGCTCAAGCCCACAACCTTGGGGTCCTTTTGGACTCCTTTTTCTCACCTCTTTCCAATGGAATTCTGTTGGCTTTACCTTCAGGACATTATACCAGAATTTGACCCCTTCTCCCGCCTCTAGTGCTGCTACCTGGAATCTAGCCATGCCCACCTCTCACCTGGATAATTTTAAGAGCCTATCTGATGTGTCTGCCTCCATTCTCACTCTCTGTTGTCGATTCTCAACACGGCAGCCAGAGTAACTGGTTCAGCACAAGAGTCAGGTCATGTGACTCCTTTGCTCAAAACCTGCCAGTGACTCTGCATTTCATTCAGAGGAAATTCCAGGTTCTGACAAGGCCTGCAATGCCCCACATGAATTGACCCTCCACTACTTCTGCCAATATCTCCGAGTACTCTCTCTTTTTCTGATATGCCCATGCATGTACTCACTTCATGGTGGCCACACTGGCCTCTTGCTGTTCCTTGAACACTCCAGGTCTGTTCTCACCTCAGGACCTTTGCACTTGCTGTTTCTGGTGCTTAGAACACTTCCTCGAGATATCTGCGTGATCCATACCCTCGCTTCCTTCATATCTTTGCTCAAATGTCCCATTCTTGTTCAGGCCTTCCCTGACTTCCACCCCTCATTACTCATCTCTCTTATCTTGCTTCATTTTTCTCTATAGCTCTTATCACCATCTAATAAATTATATAATTTACTTTACTTTATAAGGACAGTGGAGTTTTGTCTGTTTTGTTCACTGCTGTGTCCCTTTACTTTATAAGGACAAGGAGGTTTTGTCTGATTTGTTCACTGTTGTGTCTCAGGTACCTAGAATGGTGCATGGCATATCATAGGTACCCAACACGTACTTCTTGAATGAATGAATGAATGAATGAATGAATGCTCTATAGATCCATTTTTTTTCCATATGCAGTTCTCAAGGTTAAAATTTAGAGAGGGGGTGGAAACCTCTCCATGGGCTCAGATCCAAGTTACATTATATCTGTTTACATATTCCAAAAGCATGTATTTTGGGGTTACTGGATACTGTCTTGCCAGAAATGAAGCTTCCTATCTTCATCAGGTTCTTTATTATTCCCCAAACTATCAGTTAAATTTGAGAAGAGAATA